TTCCATATTTTAAGCCAAATATAATATAGCCATTGTTTTTCTTCCCTCTGTCCTTCTGCTTGTCACTATATAGTACTTGATTGCTTTCAGATATATGCATGAAGAATTCATACACAAACTGTTTTCAGATAAAGAAAAGAAACTGTAAAATATCAATGCTGATAGAACTATGACAGTATATGCTATGATTTGTGATTGCAAAAGCTTCAGGGAGAATGCAGATTGTTTTTGTCCCATTCACCAGTGAAAGGCCTCTTGCAGAGTCCTACTCTCCATTAGACAGCAGTTTGTGTTCGAAAACAACTAAAAGCTGTTTTCTAAAAGCCTGAGAGATCATTGGCTTTTACAGTCTTCCTGCTTACTTTCTATATTTCCAATGTCTGAATCAGGGGTGAGAAATTAAATTGCACATTATATTTTTTTTAGTCATGATCAAGGGTTTTGAAGTTTATATCAGTGACTAAACTTAATTTCCTGATGTATCACCACGAAGTGATGTTGTTGAAGACAGAAGTTAAAATTACCCAATACCCTTCTCTCTCAATATAAAAAATAAAGATAAATAATGGAAATACAGTACTGTTTCCTTACTAATTTAGTAGTAGTGTTGTCTTAAATTTGGAGTTAAATTTAGAGAATTTAGTAATATTTTCTAGAGTCATGCTTACTAAGTTTTCTGTACTGTGAGCTGGCCTGCAAACAATTCCCTAGGTTCTCAAGGCTAGGTGGTGGTGGTGAAGCACTGAAGCTGAGCCAGCCGACCACGAGGCTCCCTTGAGGGAGCACTGGAATGATCTGCTCCTGCCTTTCAGCACAAACAGGCCCAGCTGCCCAGATTTCACAGTGCTGGGCAAACATAACTGTGATGGTCATGTTGCTCTTGAGAGTTCAGATGGCAAAAGCCTTGAGTGCCAACAGCAAAACGCTTTCTCTTGGTATCAGCAATGCAGGGGAGCTTCCTGCATTGCTTTCCTTCTTCATTATCTGCGAATACTCTGAGGTCTAAAAGTAAAAAGAATAGGTTTTACTTACTAAACCAAGATATCAACTATAAAATACTATTTTATTGGCAAGGTTTAACCCACCTCTTTATGAAGTAAGAAATCATTGAATTAAATTTCTCAGTGGTCTCTTGGTTTGTGATTCTGATAATAAAATATATTTTCTTGCAGCTGTCCCTTCTTCCACTAGATATGTTTTTGAATTTTGAAAAAGATAGAGCATTTTGAATTTTTCTTTTCTTTTGCAGTACTACTAGCATATCTTTTTTTCTGTCATATCAAGGCATTCATGGCTCATTGCATCTATGCATATCAAAATTTTGATTTATAATTCCTGTGAAATTTTCTATAGATCAGAACCAGTACCTTTTGAAAATGTATTCTGTAAGGACTTGTTTAAAGTAGGTGATTTTCTCTGAAAGGTAACCTTTAGCATTGCCCTGACCTTTATGACTTTGACCTGGAAATTAGTATTGTAGAGTTCACAGAGCATGCTTTCCTCAAAAACATTTTCTTAAGATGCTGTGACAGCCTCAGCAACTGCTATTTTTGGACCATTTCATTTAAAATTAATCACTTGTGGAATTTTCAGAAAGTTAATTTCACAAAGAACATGACTGGGTCTTTTTCATTTGTGTATGAATATAGACATGTTTTTGCCTATTTCTTTAAAGAAGATTAAAGTCTGTCTGGTTTTTTTTGGACTTGAGTAAGATTTTGTGAATTTTATTGTTTTTATTGGGATAGATGCTGGCATTTAAGGAATCTCACTCTTGGCTTTCAGGCTCTATGTCTAAAAAACCCCTTTTCCAAATGTTTTCTGCTTTTGCTAGCTTTAAGATATTATTAAAAATTATTGCTTTGCCTTGTCCAGTTTTATTTGCTTTAGAAATTGTCATGACAACTGAAGGTTTTCCTGGGATTCCAAAATTCAGTTGGCAATTTGACTGAAGTCTCCTGCACTTTGCAGATCCAATAGCCAACTTGCCTTTTTTGATGCTTGCTGGAAGTGAGGCAGGGAGACCTGAAGAAATTGAGAATCTGCTTTGGCAATGTTATAGCTGCATCTTTGCTATCACACATTAAACAGTGTGCAAAACTTGAGTATCTGACACAGCAAACGTTTTCTATTTTGGATTGATGAAGTTTTCCTTTTCAGGTGAGTCCAGTACCCAGGTAGTGGCATCCATGAATTTTATATAATCTGACTAGCTTGTCTTTTTGCTAGATTTCTGGTGATAAGACAGAATCAGGTTTGAAGGCTAAAGATTTTTCATCCTATAAGTGTTAGTTCTTGTTTACAAATAATCAAGTTTATAGTCTTGGATCATAATTCTTTTAGATGCGAAATGTTGTATATGAAAACTGTCATTAATTTACTGGTCAGGTTTTTTTCAAAACTACACTCACAGGAAGTATTATTTTCCTGTTTTTGCCTGAGTTAAAAATCAGAATAAAGATTTTACTTTTAGAAACACATTTGCGTAAGTAATAAACCCTAGAAAAAACACAGGAATAAAGGAAACAATATTGTTGGTTAGATGTTAAAACTAGCAGCTAAAACAACACCCAGCAAGCTCTACAAGTTAATACCCGTATTATTTTAGGACTAGAGTCGGCCCCAAGATCTCCCAAAGAAATATGAACTGATACATTTTTCACTTCCCTTATGACAAATTACTTGCAAGTTTGTTTTACTTGAATAGCCTTCACTCTAGAAGGAGAGTGTTGATGTTGATATTTATTCCTCTACCATGAAAGCCATACCTCTGAAATCATCAGTGTGTTTGAATGCAATAGTGACTTAAACTCCTGTCCAGGTTTTCATGTGCCAGGGCAATGGCTTCAGGGTAAAGGGTGAATAGCACATCAATGTACTTTCATAATCAGATGGTGCCATTTTCAAGAAAGTCTATTTCCCACTATTATTTATAATAAGCCAAAAGACACTGGAATGTATGGAGGTGAAATTTCAGATGTGCAGACCATGTGTACTCAAATGGGAGGCCAGAAGCTGAGGACTGAGGAATATAGCATGTCACTGTAAGAAAGTTTTCAAAAGAGGCAAAAGCAAAGAAATGTTTGAAGGCGAGATGAAAAGAATAGAAAACATCTTCCCATATGGTACCTGAGAGATTTGAAAGAAGACAGAGTTAAAAATCACTATTCAAAATGTCATTTTGCTTTTCTAGCTTTTTTCTTTGATCTTTGAAGATTTAGGAAAATATTTAGGGCTGACTAACTTCTCTAGTCAGCTGACAGAAAAATATAGCAATGCTTGGAACTGTGTCATTGAAGTTTATGAAGTTTAATCTTATATTAAACTAAAATTCTTCCTTCAGTGTCAACCTTGTAAACTTCACATGTATAAAAAAGGATTAAAATTGTCTTTATAAAAATAAAATCTTTTTGGGGTAGGAATATCTGTCTGAAACATTTGTAAACCTCCAACAGCATGCAAAGGTAAATTGCCTTATTTAAGGAATAAAGCCAAGTAAATGCTATGATAAACTCTGTCACTGCAATTTAAAATCTCTCAAAATTTAGACATTTAACATAGCAATGAAAAATGTTTGCTCTGGACATGGTTGCTAAGTCTCTAGAGATTTTCATTGCTATGTAATCAATTTTGTAATGCATACACACATGGAAAGCTATGATATAATCAAAGAGGCTTTGTAAAATACATGATGAAGCTATTCACTAAGTGTAATAAACTAAAATCTATAAGGAGAAGTAAATTTCCTTTCTTTTCTGAAATGCCTTTTTAAAATATTGTTTTCATTGCCTTGAGAAAAGCAAAGGAAATTATGCAGAAAGTACAGGAAGAAATCTGAATCTAAGGAGTAACAGGGGAAATATACTTCACATTATAATGTTATATATTATAGTCCATTCAAGAGATTTTATTGTTTGATTTGGTTTATATTTATGTAAGTTGTATGAATTTTTATTAATGTTTTATATTTAAGGTTTATAAAAGAGTTTTGTTATTATGCTTGGTGGGAAATGGATGAGCAACTTAAATATTGGTTCTGTAAGGAAATATGTGATGTCTCTCTTTATTACTTTGCTTGTCTGAACTCGAGGTATCATGAAACATGAAGAACATGCATGTAACATCCCTCAGTGTTTCACCCATTTTCTCTCTAAGCCAATTTGGTTATTTCACGTTACCCAAATTATGAATGTGGTTTGGGTTTTTTATATGCAGCAAAGCTGCATAATTTATTTTGCAAATCATGTTCACAGTGAACATAAAGTTCACTGTATGAGTGAAGTTCAACTGTAGCTTTCTAACTTGGAAAACAAGTTGTGGCATAAAGTGCAAGGTGTGATAGAAGTGCATTTGATAGAAGTGCATGCCCAAGAGGAGCAGATGGGTTAGGAATTAGGAGGTGAGTTTGGAAGGATACTCAGTGTGAAAGGCAGGAAGAAATCTGGTATCAAAGGTGTTAGGAGGTAAGCAATAGCATGGGACCTTAAAATAAGCAGGAAATTAAACAGAAAGAAAATTATATGCAATAAATGAAGGGATAGAGAGCAAGGGAGACTGCAGGGGTAAGGAAAACACTTTAGCACCGAGGGAAAAATGAATTTTGTCAAGAGCTTAGCCATGGGGTGGAATTTGATACACTAGTAGTCCATATGTAGGTAACTGAATATGCCTTTACTGGTAAACTAATTTTTAAGTGGTGTGTGTGTGTTTTTCTATGTACATTTTGTGGTAGTATAATTTTTAAAACACAGACTACTATTGCACACTTAGTGCACTTCTATTATTTTTTTATAAGTCTCAGCCTAAAGAAAGAAGTTCTATGTTTCATTGCTAAAACAAAGCTAAAAAAAGAAACTAAACTGAAATAGAATGGCCAGTAGACAAACTGAGCAAAAAATGTAGATCTCTTCCATGGAAAAACAATATGAATTGCCTCAGGGATCTGAAGAATAGAGAGAGAAAACTTCCTAATCTATAACTGCCTTTTCTTTTGCTCCTAGGTTCAGATATTGTCCAATGGTTAACGAAGAACTTATCGATAGAGGACCCAGGTAATTTCTCTTATTTTCTTGTCTTCAAATTCTAGTTTGTTTTTTTTAAATCATTGGACCTGATATTGTTTTCTGCTGTGGTGGGAGTGACAGGATTTGACCAGTTCAATTTCAATAGCAAAACAGATATAAAATCTTAGAAACCTTTACTAACAATCTGAGGATTTTGATTGTCCATTTTATTGCAGCAGGTACCAGGAAACAATATGAGAATGATAATGATAGTTTTTCGGTAGAAAATATATATGAGTCCATTAGGAATTTACTCAGTGTTATGCTAAACAGTTTGTTAAATACATGCTATTTTCTTACAGAATTTTTCATATATAAAAAATAAATAGAACTATTAAAATATATTCTTGTACTGTTACCAAATGCTAATCTTAAATTTGGACACTTTATACCATCTTCAATGGAAAATGAAATGCAAATAAAATCAGTGAAATGAGGAAATGAGGAAGAAGAGTTCATTGCTTGATCAGCTGGGTTGAGACGTGAAAGTAAGAGTTTGGTTCCAAAGTCTGCCATTGTTTTCTTGTGTGCCCAGCAGGAAACATAGTTTGGTTATTGTATTTAGCTATTATTTATTTCCTGGATTTACAAGAATCTGGTTACCTGATCAGAAATTTTTCATAAAGGAATGATTTCTAGTCAAAAATGCTGAATTGTAGAAATAAAATATTCTATGGAAGTTCCCATTTTCTTTTGGCTAGAGGAAAGAAAATCTTCCTTCTTTAAAAATGATCAAAAGTGCATTTTTTCCTTGCTGTTTTCCAGGTGGTTTTGGTTCTTTTTAACATTTTGGGGGGTAATTTCTGTCTTTATTTTTAAAATGGATTTTTCTGTCAAATTAGAAATCAAAGTACGATCATTGCAAAAAGCAAAATCACAGTATTTGCGACTTGAGCAATGAGGAGCTATCAGCACATAATTTGGTATTTGGAAGTAGTCAGTTGACAACATATTGACGTATTTCGTGGCAGAGATCACTACATTTTTATCTAACTTTGAACCGCGTTGTATGCTTGCTTCCCGGAGATAATGTGAAGGTTTCAAGAGACCTAAGAGTGATATTGCATTTCTCAGTTGTCAGCTACAAAACACTCACCTATTTGTATTTACCAGAGTTTGAAACATTGTTAGGCTAAGTTTATTTGATTTGGAAGCTTAACCTTTATTTGTCAAACCAGAACTGCAGTACTGGAATAGGTTGTCATTCAGAACTTGTTGCAAAATTTGGAATAGAAAAAGTTTCTACTAAACAGAAACGATGTCTCCTTTTTCCGTTATGTTTGTATCCAATTAAAATTAAACAAACACACAAACTACTAACATATGTAACCAAAACACCACAGTAATTTAACTGAAGCTGGGTTTTATCCTCTCAGATTACATGGATGGAAAAGAAAAACTATCCACAATGACAAAAATGTCTTACGTATTTTGGTCCTAGTCCAAAGTCAGCTATCTGGAGCTGCTTAAATTCAGATCTTCGGAAAACAAATAGCCCTAAATGCTTCCTTTGGGTAATGCTCAGAATTGCCAGATGACAGTGAACTTGACAGATGGTGAGCAAGAGCTCTTCACATGACAGAACTTCTGAAAATGTTCTGGTTTTTTTCAAAATCCCTAAGTGTCCTGCTTTTCATTTTGGTTCTGGACAAGTCAATCTAGAACCTCGTCTGGAAAAGCCCTAAATTTCTGCGATCTGTTGTCACCATAATTTGGATTTCCAGTGTCTTCTGATCGCTTTTAACCCGTGTGTCAGGGTTGTCATTTAAAACTACTCCATGGGTCCTGTTACAAATCACTTGTGAAGCTATTCAGTTTTGTGATACAGAAATAAATAATGCCTTAGTTTGCACTGAAAATTGTCATCTCTGTCTAAATATGATATCACCCACATACCTGGAAGAGCAACATAAAATACACCTTGGAGCATATATGATAAGAGTATATTCTACTCTGTATGGAAAAATATAAGGACCATTTGCACACCTCACCTACCAGTGCTGTGCAACTACTCATGCAAGCAAGGCAGGTAAATTGTGATTTAAGTGGTAAGTAAAGAGATTCACAGAAGGGACCTCAGGCTAGAAGGGACCTCAGAAGATCATGTGGTCCAAACTTTCATGGAGAGGCAAGCCTGGGTGATTGATTACTGAGCAGTCTGTCCTGTCTCATCCTGAACACTGCCACTGATGAGAACTCCACCACATCCAGTGATTGTTTTCGAACAATAGATGAATAGATGAAACCTCTCTCCATTCAACTTGTACTCATTACCCCTTATCTTCTCAGTGTGGCTCCTTTTGAGGAGAATTGCTATTCTCTAAGCACTGGAAAAATGTGATGAGGTCCCACCCCAAGCCTTCTGTTCTCTAGGGTGAAAACATCTAACTCTTTCAGACAACTTGTTCTTTAATAAAACACAGTAAGAAGAAAGTGACACTACCACAATTTATATATAAAAAAGTGATATTTTGAAATGCAATTTGTTCCTTTCTTTTGCATAGAAAATACAACTCCAATACCATTTAAGTGGGGATGAAGTAGGCAGCTTTATGGATAGTAGGAAAATATAAGGCAGAAGTAGGTGTGACAGCAACATTTGCTTCAGTGTGTAAATAAGTGTAAAGCTTTTACCTGGAAACAGCAATTTACAGTAAAAAGTAGTAACAAGTTGGACCTTGTAAACTGCCAGTCAAAACCATGCACATTTTTAATAAATGGAAAATAATATTCAGTGAAATATTTGAAATGTTTTGGCTTGCTGTAGTAGATCTCCATCAAGAAAATAAACTGGAGATGATAGGTGGATTCGGCTAATTTGCACCAGATTTGGAGTTATTTCAGTGGAGCAGAGCTTGTGCCCAGAATAGCTGTGCACAATGCAATGTACAGTTGCTGTTACATTGTTTGCTATTCAATATGTACTTAAAAAATGTTTGTGTTTCAGCCTACAACTCATCTGTAAAACTTTAAGGAACATAAATTGTCCAAGTTATTTTTAATGGGCAAGTTTTATTCAGGCATAAATATAATCATGATCTCAACCTGAAAAGAAGCAATTAACTGAGTTTACAGAATTGTAAGGGCTTGTGATTTGGCACTTAGACATGTGTTGTTGAATTGACCATTACAGGGTAAGTGCTGATGTTGGCAATTACTCTTAATGTGGAAAATCTACTCTGTTTTTCTGCATTGTGTTTTTCTTTTTTGAAGTGATCATTAATGATGTGATATGCACCAGACTGAGCACATCAGATACTGAAGTTCCTTTAATCCTTAGTGGGAAAAATAGAACAAAAATGATAGATGAGCTGATTTAAAGGTATCAGCACAAATTGCCAAGAGTCTAATCCTATACTTGGTACTTGCACTGATTTCTTTGATGCCCTTTAGCAAACATTTGATTTCTCTATTCCCTAACATCCAACATAGTAAATCAGGCTGTTGTCTCCTAAAGGAGAAAGAACTGCATGACTTTTCTAGTCTTTTCACAAGGATATGGTGTTATTCGCAAACAGTCATTTCATCTTCAAGTCATCCCATGAATAATTTTCATCTCAGAAAATGCCTTTTAGTGTAGATAATATATTTAGACATAATCCTCGTGTTCCTTTAAAGTACCTTTATTCCCAAGTGTTGCTTATTTAATTTTCTCATGGCTGCACACCAGCTGAATTTGGCTGGAGGCACTTCTCTATTGAATGGTTGCTCCAGCACAGCCACTGCAGCCACCTGCTCTAGAATGCTCAACCTCTGCATTCCCATTGCTTTGCTCCAGCTCATTTGGGCAGTCTGTTGAAGTAGTTTGCTACTGCTCTTGGACATCAGGAATTACACTGAAGTAAAAAAATATATATGTAGAAATCCAAGTTTTATAGTTATGAAAAAAGACTACCTTGATATTTACACCCTCCTGTGATTTTTCAGTTTCAGTTCTCACCATTTATAGTTTTTTCAAGTAACTGGTGTAACTAATTTGTAACTAGATGCCCATGAGCATCCATGTAAACTGTGGTCACTGACCCAGTGCAACAAAAAGGCAGGGCTCAGTAACACAGCATCTGTTTATGTTTCTTCCATATTTCCCTCTTTAGTACAGTCTCTCTCCAGCAGCTGGTGTACTAATAATGACCTTGTGAATACACAGTATTTGCTTGAAAGAGCTAGAATAAAAATGTTAAGGTTTTTATTTGAGTCTATGAAAGTTTACTTGAAAAATTGTTCAGTTCTCAGTTTTGCCCTTTCCCCAGTTATATGCAGAAAGGTAGCAGCAAAGAGCAGGAGCCAGACAAGATGTTCTAAACAATTGTCATTTGGGAAACAGCACCAGGGAGCTGCAAGCAAATGGGAGGTACTTCCAGAGATTGCTAACAGAGAAAAGAGTCTCTTATGAGAAGGAATAAAGAAGGGAATGGAAAGGTCATGCTTATCTTTGCAGTCTTTGCATTAATCAGAACAGGTGAAAGAGGAGCAAGAATAGAATGCTCCCCTTTTATTATCTTGACTTAAAAAAAACCCAACCTGAAACAACTCCAAACCCCAATAAAAGTAATTTATACTGCCTGCACACATACCATACCCCTCATACAGGGAACTCAGGGACACCAGACCCTCTCATTTTTCATATGCCTGATGGAAATTCAGGCACATTTTGTTCAGTAGCAAATCTCATTAACCTTTGTCAATTCTAGTATAACTAACTTCCCAACTTTCTTCTACTGGGTGAATTTGATCTGAGCTTGTCAGATCCTGTAACATTTCAATGGAATAATGACTTTAATCTCAGATGAACAAAAAAGAAAGTAGAACAAAATTCTGTTTGAGAATGAAAAATTGTCAGAATTTACAGACACTGCTTTAGTACCAATAATATTAACATTGTCATACTCATGCAAAAAATGTATGGGTCTAGTTTCATATAATTAAAAGCAGCATAGGGGATACTTATCTGTGTGTGGCAATCAGCGGGCTTCTAGCCACTCCTAAGG